TTTTGAATTTTGAGAAGAATCCCTCAACTTTTTCTCTACGCCAGTAATATACTTCACTAAAAGGTGAGTTTCGTAGTTAGGATTTAATTTTGTTAACACAATTTTTCCATTGGTATATGTGTCATACACCTTCATACTTACATATCAGCTCACCTTTTCTTATACCCTTGATTATTTTAAATGAATGTAAGTATTGCCTCCATGTCAAGAAAGTCAAACAGATTTTGAACAGTTGTGCTGTTTTTAGCTAACAATCTTTACCCAGTTAAGACCCACTTTGAAACAGTAGGAAACTATTTTTCATGCCCTTCAATAAGTTTTCAGCAGTGAATTATTAGGGTTTTTGTCCTTCAAATATCTTATGGAGAGAAAAGATTTATCTGACCAGGATTTTGGCAATAGATAGTGCATTTGCCTTACTTATTTTCCATTTCAGTTTAGGTAAAAAATCTTTATCATAGCTAGAATGAGAGTGTGGAGTGATAGTTCAGGTTATACCCGATGTCCAGGACTTAGTGCAGCTTTACAGGGTCAAAGTGGGCTGTTCTTTGACCACCAGACCTGGCTTCTTTTATTAGTTCCTGATATTTTGCAAAGGGAGTTTGTCAGTGATTGTTGGTCAATCAATACATTTGTAGGTGGATGGATAAGGAAGGAAGGTCCAGGGCTTTTTATTCCACCATCTTGCTTATGTGATGATTCTTATATTTATTTCTGACAATAAGGGTAATAAAATGATTCAATGAATGTATAATTTTATATGCACACACACATATATGTGTATGCATATGTATATGTGTGGGTGTGTGAGTTACATATTGAAGAATAACATTAGAGATTTTAAAAAGGATCATGAGAAAACCAACATTTCTGAATTTTGTAGCTGAGTTAGCCATTTTTTTTTCAATTTGTCCATGTTATAATACATTTGTAAAAGTTTCTTAATATAAAGATTTCTAGTATACAATTGTTGGGACTATATCCTCATTAAATGTTTAAAAGAGTTCTTTTTTTTTTTAATTGTGACACTATGAACATGGTTTGATATTGATACAATACTTGATTCTGTAACAAGTATACATAACCAAGTTTCATTTCTCTCTTCCCTCCTCAAATGAGTGCTTGTGGCATAAATTAGTCCACACATGGTTATGCATCATTGCTCGCTGACATCTCTATGTGATATAAACTTTTAAAAATCACCTTGAAACAAAACTCAAGCTGTGAGACATCAGATGGGAATTGGATTTTAAAATATATTATGTGATTTCTTTTCAAGTTTGGTTTATAGTTATTACATAAAACTATAGAAAAATGTTCAGATATTTAAATTTTGACAGGTCAGTCAGAGACAGAAACAGTGGACAACTTTAAATAATCCAGTTATCAAATTGTAACAAAGATTTCTTATTGAATGATCTGTATTGCACATTGGTATTACATAAAATTAATATTCTGTGATTTTCTATTGGTTACGTTCTTGAGTAGTCTAATTTTTATAATTTTAAATGTTTGTGATCTTTCTAGACTCTTACTACCAAAATTTAGAACATATTGTATTATAATAATATCTTCTATCTTCTACTTTGGAAATAAATTGTGTTCTTCAATTCTGATGCCAGTTTTGATGCTTAAGGTAGTATTTTATCACATAAACTCTAAGCTAAAAACCACTCCATTTGCAAATTTAAATCATAATAATATTGTAGGAATATAACTGAGATTAAAACCTTGAATATGTCTTATTAAGAAGTAATAACTACTGACCTCCTTCACCTGTGTTCTTGCTGATGGTTTAATACAATTAAACTGATGCCACACAAAGTCAATCATATTTTGGCCAGATTAGCATCATCCCACTTTTAAAAAGAAAATAATTACTTTGACTTTCTTTTCTCTATCCTGGCTTCATATATACTAATATTAAAACAAATCATCTTATTCTGAATGTAGTCATAGTCAAAACAATAGTTGAAAGAAATAATAAAATTGTAATAGTCCCTTCTTATCTAACCCAATCAATTTATGAAACATAATCTTCTTATTACTCAGTCATCAGGATCTGAAAAGTACATAATTAGATGATCTAAAAGCATTTCTTAGCCATTTGGGAGTGTGCAGATTGGTAGAGCTACCACTGACATAATGATGAAAGAAACTTTTTAAAGATACTTTGACTTGAAGGGGCAGTCCAGTGGGGGTTAGTTCTGGATGAATTAGGAGAAAGAAGAAGAGAAGGGAGGATGGGAGAATATGCATGCAGACTAGGAACTAGACAGAGAGCTAATATTAAGAACATAGATTTAGATTCGAGCTGCTTATAATTTTAGGAATGGCACGGACCATTAAGGAGTCTATTCTTGGTACAAAGATCTTATAATTTTTAAAATATGGCATTGAGCTTAAATCATAGATTTGTGAAATTTTTCTCCTAGAAACAGCAGCTGAAGAAAGAGGAGGCCCGTTTAAAAATTAAGATAATAATTCTGATCCAGTTATTTCATTGATTCGTAATAGTCATTAAAACTGACAAAAAGACCAAGAGTACCTCTAGCTGTTTAATTAGCCCTTTGGTATACCACCACACTGTTGAAACTAAGACTGTGAAGAAATTAATCAGGATAAATGACTAAGGGTTTAAATAAATCACTTATCTTAAAAATTCAATCAGAGAAAAAATGTTTAAAAGCAGATAGTAACAGATAGTCTGGTAAGTGTGTTTGAGATCTGGAGTCCCATCCAGCTGGATTCAGATCATGTTTGTCTAGCGTTATTAGATGTGTGACCCAACTTAAACTACTTACCTTCTGAAACTCAGCTTCCTCATATAAAATGAAGTTAATAATATAAACTGTATGTTTATGAGGTAAATTAGATAAAGCATGATGAAGTACTTGGCACAGTGACTGATACATATCAAATACATAATGTATTTTAGTTATTGTAATTGCTATTAATGCAATCATTTTGTTGCTTGGTTATAGGTGACAGCTTCCCAGATTAGGAACATTAAGGGATCATGGTTTTGACTTAAGTAAGAACAATACATTGAAACTCAATCAACCAATCAGCCTTGTCAGGAAATCTGCTGTAGCTAGAAAGGAAACAACACTGGAGATTACAATTGGAGCTTAAGTAAGGCATGGCAAACCAGTGATCCTCAAAAAGATAAGGGATCAGCTGTTCTCAGCCTGACTTGGCCATGTTGAAGTCAGATGGGGAGGTAAACAGATATCTAGAAAATTTTTTGAATGCAGTATAACTCATGGACATGAACAAAAGGAGTAAAAAAAATGGTAATGATGAAGTCACAGCAGGACCAGTAATACACTGATGCAGTTACCCAAGTGTGATCTAGGACTTTTTAAGTGCCTCTTGGCTATAATAACACTATTCATCAAAACCTTGTTACCAGCCATAGATAATCACTAACTGTTGAGAATTTCTGAAATTGCAGGAATTTCAGGATAAGGAGCCACACAGATCATTATATATGGGACAGAATTTTGGAAGGGTTTTATAATGGGTTTACTTATCTTTGCTAAAAATATCTGGTATTGGCTTCAGCCTACTCCAACAAGTGATCATGTCTTTTGAAATGCTTACCTACTACCTTACTGGCTATTTTCTTTTCTTTTTCTTTCTTTCTTTTTTTTTTTTTTTTTTTGAAGTTTTGTTAGCACAGGCAGTCTTCATGGAGATTAGTTTATCTTTCTGCCTTCCTTCATAAAAACTTTTAAAGAAATGTCAAGAGAAAATAATTTCCAATATATGACAAAACTTTACATTTAGTTTCAGATTCCTAAAATTACAAATGACACATGTGAGACAAGGGATAAACACTTTTTATAAATAAATCAAATAATGGATTTGGGAGCAAGACCTTAATAGAATAAATGGGGATTGGGAGATTATTAATATAAATGCTACCTATGTCAGCAAATGCAAAAGTGAAATCATAGAGGGAAATGAGAAAATAGAGGTCAGATACCATGATTGTAAAAAAAATTGGGGTACATTAAGGTTTTTAATTTTTTTCCTGTTTATTACTTTGCTATCCCTGTTTTTTTGTCATAATAATTAAAAATATTACTAAAATCCAAAGGATTCCCATGTTTGTTTCTAGTTTTACCAAAGAAATGATGAGGTTTTGTATCTAGTCTTTAAAAAATAACTACAAGGGATGGAATAGGAAATGTTATATATGTACTGGAATAGCAGATTAGTAAGCAGTTCATTCACCAAAACAAGCCAAAAAGTAAATGAACATTTTTGAAGAGTTGTTAATTATGTTCTACAAGCCTACAAATCTACTGTTCCCAGTAAGTAAAATTCTAAATGCTTCATGCTCTTTTCTACTGTCCTGCTCCATGCTCAAGAAGCATGCCCTAAATGCTGCAGGTAGTAAGAAAGTATTAATGGAATAGGAAACAGAAAATTAAAATACTCTTCTGTGCCATGGTACAGAAAGAAATATGTCATTATTTTTTATAATAGCAATATCTGTTCATACTGTGTAAATGGTTTGTAAACAATTTATAATTACAATATCTGTTATTAAAAAATGAACAATACAGTGAACTGTCACTTAACCTCATCAATAGGTTCTTGGAAACTGTCATTTTGAGTAAAACAATGTATAATGAAAGCAATTTTACCATAGGCTCATTGATATAAACAAGAGTAAAAGTTTCTACACTATATTTCTTGTCACAAAAACATCACCAAGCTTCTAAATAAAGACTCAAAACACTTATAATATTAAACATTAAAATAAATGTGAGGTATATTTACATTTAAGAAATAATACAACAAGTCAAATAATTATTTACCTTATTTTGGTGGTTCAGGGACTGAGCGTGGTGACGTCAAAAATTGTTAGGAGTTCCTCCTGTCACCATGCAACTGTGTCATTTATTGTCGTGTATTTATATAATTATTGTAGATTTATTAAAAATTTTTATTTTACAATGATTATTCATTTATTTTCTAACCCATAGATTCCAGTCAAGAGGGGTGGGTAGCTGGAGCCTCTCCTGGCAGCACAGAGAACAAGGTAGGAACCAGCCCTGGACAGGGCAGCATCCCATCACAGGGTGAACTCACCCATAAGCCTACACTCTCTCAGACCGGGAAATTTAAATACTAGAGCACCAAACTTGCACATTTTTGGGATGCAGGAGGGGTCAACCTAAAATAATCAAAAGGATCAGAATCTAATTTAAAGAGAATTTGTTCAAGCACAAAGTGTGAGGCTAGACCATCTGAAAACACCAATGCCAAAAGAATGGAGTCAGCATTCCAAAGTAGGCAAGATTTGATATAGGCAGAGACAGAGGAGTGTTTAGCAGGATTACATTATTTGTATTATAGGCTGGCATACAATTATAGCAGTTGACTGGCTACAGGCAGTGTTTCTTCTTGGGAAGGGTACATTTAGCACTTTATAAAGAGGGTGTAATAATCATGATTTTTCTGTCATCTGGTCTAAGCAAAGCAGGACAAAACAAAGGGGATGTTAATCTATAATAAGGGTCACTAATTAAGAAGGCAGGAGGGTTTTGTCCCTGACATTGTTTCATTCTCTCTAGTAATTGCACAAGAAGAAAGCAAGTTAATCTATAATCTGAGAACAGAAGTTGTAATAATATGTGGCTCAGATTACAGTCATATTTCTCTCAAGGCTTAAAACGTTTTTTAGAGTTCCAACAGCTTTTAAATTTTATTTCTTTTCACAAAGGAAACTGGTGTACCTGAAGAAAACCCAGGCAGACATGGAGAGAACTACAAATTCTACACAGTCGGTGGCCCTGGCCAGAAATAGATTTCTTTCTAGGCAGTGTTATAACAAAATGACATTGAATGAAATGGTATTATTTGAGGAACTACTGTATATTAAGACAAAAAATACATTTGGAAAAAAACAACAGTAAGAATTAGAAAATGTAGACGTAAAAATGAATGTGCAGAATGCTAGACATTGTTTAAAGGAAATTATTTAAAATCCCTGAAACAGAGAAACCAGAGAATGAGTATGCTAAAAAAAAAAAATAAAGATATATGGAAGACAATTTAAAAGGAAAACATGTGTCTGATTAGAAGAGCCTGATCCAGGAAGTCCAAGAGAAGAGTTTCCTCTAACTATACGTAAAAAAGAAATTAGACAGAGGCCTGATGTTGTGGATCATGCCTGTAATCCCAGCACTTTAGGAAGCTGATGTGGGAAGATAGCTTGAGCCCAGGAATTTGAGATCCAGCCTGTGCAACATGACGAAACCCTGTCTATACAAAAACTGCAAAAATTAGCTGACCATGGTGGCACACACCTGTAGTCCCAGCTATTTGGGAGGCTGAGGTGGGAGGATCACTTGAACCTGAGTCGTAGAGGCTGTAGTGAACTGTGATTGTACCACTGTTCTTTAGCCTGAGTGACAGAGCAACATCCTGTCTCAAAAAAAAAAAAAAAAAAAAGAGATGGAAAAAGCAAAAGAGAGATAAGGAAGGGAGGAAAGATAATGAGAAAATGGGAGAGAGAGAAAGAGAAAATAGAAACTATGAAGAGCATTATGTTAAGTTAAAAAAGATAAAATAAATACTTTTCTACTAGTGTTTATAAGTTATTATAAATGTTTCTAGAAAAAGAACCAGGGAATTTATAGACCTATAGTATTGAATGACATTTAATTATTGATATGAAATGAACACTGCAAAATGTTTACAGGTAAGATTTCACAATATCTTTAGAGAATAAAAAAGCTATTTCATATAGATATTCTTAGAAGAAATTAAAAACAACCCCAGGATGGACTATCTAACTCATGATATAAGGGAAATTATAGTTATAAAATGATGTATATAAAATATTTTGGGTTAGATATGTTTTAGAATTTACCATTTGCTTTTAGAATGGTAATGTCTATATATTTGCAAATTATGTAATATTCTCAATAATGTGCAATAGTCTATTATAGTAATAAATAACCTGTTTATATAAATATTAATTTTCCATAACAAAATATATAACTCTTCACATGAAATTAGAAAAAAGACTACTATAGCATTACTATTGTTAAAGAAAACCAAATATGGCCTGAGAAGGATTCCATACTTCTATATTTCAATCCTAGTGAATGAACTATAACCTAGCTTAATAGACAAAATTGAAAAGCTGGCCAGCCGCAGTGGCTCATGCCTGTAATTTCAGCACTTTGGGAGACCAAGGTGGGTGGATCACCTTAGTTCAGGAGTTTGAGACCAGCCTGTCCAACATGGTGAAACTCCATCTCTACTAAAAATACAAAAATTAACTGGGTGTGGTAGCAGATGCCTGTAATGCCAGCTACTCAGGAAGCTGAGGCAGGAGAATTGCTTGAGCCTGGAAGTGGGGAGGTAGAGGTTGCAGTAAGCCAAGATTACACTATTGCACTCCAGCCTGGGTGACAAGAGCAATTCCCAGCCTCAAAAAAAAAAAAAAAAAAATTGAAAACCTAAGTTAATAGTATGCACCGGTAATAATAACTGAGTGTTGGCCAATCCCAGCATTAGTCATACTTCAACCACTCATTAACTACTGAGTGTTCAAACCACATTCAGTTAAGGCACACACCCACCTGTACCCTTTTTCTGTACCTCACTTCTGATTCCTGTATGTCACTTTATCTTATTTGTCTATAAATTTGTTCTGACCACAAGGCACCTGGAGTCATTCATTGCTCAATTAAACTTCTTAAATTCAATTCGGCTGAAGATTCTCTTTTATCAGATGGTGTCAGAAGCGGGATCTGAAGTGGGGCTTCTAGCGACCCCCAGGAGCACTGAGTGAACACACAAGGCACCTGCAGGTGTCCATGGATCTCTCAGAGCAGCTGGGGATCGTGGGTAAGTCCCCTCTTAAATTTCAGAGCTCCACAGATTTGTTTCTTGAGCTCTCTGAGTTTCTTTGAGCAAATTTCTGATCCAAACTGAGTTTGGAGTGGAGACAGAAACTAGACTGGGTCCAGGAATGGATTTGATATGGGAATTAACTGACTTAAAACCACTAGGAGCCCTCTTACATCTGAATGGGTCAAAAAGGAACTGATAGTAAGCAGTAATATAGCAGGGGTTATAAAATTTGACTTTTGAAATTTTTGTGTTCTATCCCTTTGTTTCATTTTTCTTGTGCGCTTAGGCAGGAAAAAAAATCATTGGCTAAGTTAATCAAGAGAACCTGAGAGTAAACCAATATTTTAGGTCAAATGGGATCCTTAATTTCTGGAAAACTGAATTCCTTGTGGCTTATACTTTAGACCTGGGAGGCAGCAAAGTCTGACAGAAACTGCAAAATTTTACTAAAGATAGCTTAACAGTGGAACATTCCTAATGAACAATGAATTGAAGTACATTTAAAAATGAGGGCTCTTGGTAAAGTCCCTTCTTGCTAAGAACAGGTTTGGCATTACAGGATGTCAACTGCTATTCTGTTTGGAGTAATCTGCCTTGCACTCTTTGCCGCTGGCTGTGGTTGACAGGATTAGGCATGTACAGGATCATGGAACATTGGGAGCTTTTTTCTTCGTATAAGGGGAAAGGAGAGCTGGTGAGACTGCTGGAAAGGATCCCTTTGCTACTGAGAAGGAGCCACCTGAACTTTTCAGTGTCCCTGCAATGGGTGGGTCTTTCTCTGGCCTCCCTGATCATTTTGCCTTTTCCACCCTACCACAGGCAGTGCTTTTCTCTTTCTCCTTTCCCTTTCTTATATTTTCTATTACTCAGGGTGACTGTCTTGCCCAGAGACCATCTGTTGAAACTCCTAGTTGGACGTGGCCAATCTGAGGGCAAATTTGAACCTTGCCAGTTTGATATCAGATGCTAAGCAGAGTGGCTAATGTCTGTATTGTATCACATGTATTTTATTCTGGCCAGAACAAAAAATGATAATTTTTCTTTATGAGATATCTTGGCCCCCAGTGCACGGGTGCCGTAAGCTGAGTCACTAGGAGCTCTCAGTGAAAGGGAAACCAGAAACCTGGCATGCCTACAAGAGGGTAAGAATTTCTTATCAGTCAGATTTTTGGCTTCTCTCTCTTTGTGCAGATGGTTGAATGAATGGTAAAAATCACTGTTTATTTCTTCTGTAGATTTTGTATTAATGAAAAAAAGAATTGAGAGGCTAGTCCTTAAAATTATGTGTTATGATTTTGTTTTTCTGTTTTGAGGGGTACCTTAGGATAACACAAGAGCTTAGGACCCCATAAGCTTGCACTCAAAATGGCCCAGCAAGCTGGTCAATAACAAACTTTCCTGCAGGTCCCTGAAACAAACAAACAAAAAAATCTACATGGGGTCTCTATCTTGTTTTACATTCTTGGGAGCTTGACCTGGTAACCTTATGGCAGTACTTTCAGTATCTGCCTTCTAGGGAACAGGAATTTTAGGGTTTATGTCATAGTTAGCTCTAAAAATTATCTTGAGTTGTTAAAAACCTTTAAAGCTCAAAATTAACTATTCTAGAATTCTTCTGGAAAATGTGATAGAGACTGTCCTATGCTGTAGCTCAATAGCTAGGTTCTTGTCCTTTCGCAATGGTGGTCTGGGTTGGATTTCCTGCTTAGAAAAGTAAATCCTTTCTGGTTTAATATCGGCTGGACCTCTAGTCTCTTTACCTCCATGCACTTCTATATTTGAGTCCTTGTGGATGAACTGTAACCTAGCTTAATAGTTATACAAAATTGAAAACCTGGCAGGGCACAGTGGCTCATACCTGTAATCCCAGCATTTTGGGAGGCCCAGGCAGGTGGATCACCTGAGGTCAGGAGATCAAGACCAGCCTGTCAAACATGATGAAACTCCGTCTCTACTAAAAATAGAAAAATTGGCCGGATGTGGTGGCAGGCACCTGTAATCCCAACCACTCAAGATCCTGAGGAAGGAGAATCACTTGAACTTGGGAGGTGGAGGTTTCAGTGAGCTGAGCTCATGCTGTTGCACTCCAGCCTGGCCAACAAGAGCAAAACATCATCTCAAAAAATAATAATAATTAAAATAAAATAAAATAAATTGGAAACCTAACTTATTAGGTAGCAATACCTAAGTGTTGGGCTATTTCAGTGGCCATACTTCAACCACTCATAGCCTGCTGAGTGTTCAAACTGCATTCAAATAGGCACATGCCCAGCTGTAACCACTCTTGCTGTTTCTTTACCTCACTTCTGATTTCTGTATATCACTTTACCTTTTTTGTCTATAAATTTGTTCTTATCATGAGGCACTCCTGGAGTCTCTGTGATTCTGCTGTGATTCTGGGGGCTGCCCAGTTCATGAATCATTCATTGCTAAGTTAAACTCCTTTAAATTTAATTTGGCTGAAGTTGCTTTTTTATTACTATTTATGCACATACTGTATTTTGCTAAATTGGTAAATGAATAGTGGGATAAATATAAACTGTAAATACTAGAGGTTCTTATTTTTAGTGCATATATTTAATAAAAATTATAACATATGCAGATCCAAACTATACTGTATCTGTAC